AAATTATTTCATTTTAATTATAAATTTGGAATATTATCGAATATTTTAAGTTTAGATTAATAAATATTAACACATGGATATAATTCTTATGATATTGATGTATCTATTTGCTACTACTAATAATAGATTTGATAGTTACAAGTATTAGAAATGGATTATTTTATTTAGTCCATTTAATATATTTATGTTCAATACTAACTTCCATTATTATTATATCATTACTTGTAAAAGTGAATGATAATTATTTATTGTCTACATCTTTATTATGATGTGAGAATGTATAACCATCTTAACGTATTAAATATGATCTATTATGATTAATATTTAATACCCAAACCCAAATCCACAATTTTAATAATTATTTTTTTATATAATATCTCTGAATCCAATTCCAATACGAATACTTGTTCCACTAAGCATTTAGAATGCAAACATTGTTTTCCCAATCTTTGGAATTGCTTATTCACAAAGACAATAATTATTAATACTACTAGATTCAACAACTTTTCCAAATTCACTTATTTAACAAATTGAACTCTTATAAGTATTAGAAAATGATAACCTTTTATTATATTCTTAAATCTATGATTAATTATTAAGTTATAGTTTACTTTTTCTAACTCTAATTTTTATTATTTTTCTTTTTGTAACTTTTCTTGATTAATCTAATCAAGTTGTTTTTAAACTGCTTGTAATTCTGATTCCTTTTAATTGATTCTTTTATTCATTTCTGTAATTTCTTTGTTTTCTATTTGTAATAAGAATAATGAATACTTTGATCTTCTATAGTCTTAATAGCCTTTAATCTATCCTCTTCATTTTATTTTTTCAGATTTATTATTTCTTAGGTTTTTTGATCAAATTACTCTTTGTATAATGAGTTTTCTTTTACCTTTGATGCATTGATCTCATCGATTTTCCTTTAATCTAAAACATTCAATTAATAATACTCTAATCTTGCTATTCCTTTAAAAGTTTTTAATATTCTTAATGTTTCTCATCTAATTATTTGGACATTTGATTAAGTAAATTTGTTTCTATTGATTCATTTATAAAATTACCTTCAATTTCTAGATCTTTGTTGAGTTCTCTAAATTTTACTAAATCCAATTCTAATTGTTAAAAATTACTATATTTCTTCATTTATTTACATTTGTTATCAAAATTAATATTATAATCATTTAATACTTTAGATAGATTCTAATATAGAATTTATATTGATTCCTATTTATTAACTTAATTGTTAGTTTAATTTTAAATTAGTTATTAAATTTAATCAATCTTATTAGAATGCTATTAAACTAAAGTAATAGTCTAATCAAATAAATTTATTTAACATTAGTATTTTTTAGCCTAATCAATAAATTCTTAGAGTTCCTTAATAAATTCAATCTAATTTTGATAATTTTAATCCTTTGTCTATGTACATTTAGATAATTATGTGATAAGTTCTGAAATTTATAAAATTAAATTTCTTTCAACTAATAATAAGATTAAAAAAATTTAATACTTGGTGTTTCTTTGATTATATCTATTGATTATTAAATATCTAATTAATCATATTTTAATGACTCTAAATGATTTTCCATTTCTTTTTGAAAAATTATTTCTTTATTTTTAAAGCTTGTAATTGTTTAATTTTAAGTAACTTTTTCTTTTTCAATTAATTATTTTAAATCTTATAATAATTATTCATCTTCTAAAGACTATATTGAAACTCCCTTTATTTAATTCTAGTATTTAATTTTATTTATTGATTAGAATTATTCTGAGATTACTTTATCACTAATTTCATTTAATTTTTAATTATAATTTTTTCTCATTTAAGAAATTTAAGTAAATAAATCACATCTTTTATTTTTACTTTCCTTTTTATATTGTTATAATATATTGTAAGATTCTGAATTGTAATCTATCCATTATTTATTAATATTTTCAATTGTTTAATATTTAATTTATGGATTTTCAGAAATACAATCAACACAAACAAATCTATCTTCAATTTTCTTAGACTAAGAATCCATATCAATCATAATAATTTCTTTTTTATGATTCACACAAATTCTATTTAAGCTTGGTGTTTTCTATTAAATTAATAATATAAATTATTAATTACATATTCATTTTTTGTCTATAATAATGGTGGTAATTCAATAATATTATTTTCCATTAGATCTTTAATAATTTGTTTTGTATTCTTAAATGTATCTAATGTCTAAAAATATTCAGCATTATTAAATAATAATTCAAATTATTTTGTTAATTCATCCACAAAATGATTATCTTCAATTAAATTATTTGATTTCTATTAATTGTTAGAATATAATTCTGACAATTATTTGATATCTTCAAAATAATTTAATTGATATTATTTTTCTTGTAATTCTAATTTTTCTTTTTAAATTGGAAACATATATTATTATATTTACTTATGAATCTTTTCTAAAGAATCATCCATAAATCTTTTAAAATCCATTATTTAATCTAAAATATTTTTATAGTAGCTGAGTCTTGCTTAATTCTCTTTAGTCTCTATTTCTTTTTATTAAGTCTTTATTTATTAGATTCTTTCCTTTGACTACTCAATGGTTGTCACTTTATTATTATTTAATTTATCAACTAAACACTTACCACAAAAGAACTTAATTTATGATTTATCAGACATGTCTAAGTCAATTGCAATCAATTCCAGGTTGTGAGCTTTACAAATGGTCTCTTAGGGTTCTTAACTTGATTTTTATTGTAAAATATTCATATTTTTTATTTTATTAATAAACTTTAAATAAGATATTTTCTAATAAATATTAATTTATATAATATACTATAAAATTCAATACTTTTTTATAGATAAACACAATTATAAGTATTATTTTAAATCCTATTAGCTAAATTCCAATATATTTGATAAAACTTATTTTCACATATTGAATCCAGATCTCAATCGGGTGAATTGCAGAAATTGGATCTTACCATAAGTTAAAATATGTAATAAATAAATTGATTATATAATTAACAATTAGAAGAAATTTTAAGCAATTCATCTCTGCTATTTAATATTGTGAAATTGAACAAACTAGCGAATTCAAAACATTAATTAAATCGCATAGGTATCCAACTTAAAAAATAATAAGTTGGAACAAAAATGTAATTTAAAAAAAACTAGCTTTGGAGTGTTTTAAGAATTACATTTAATATCTTTCAACTCAAAAATTAGCAAACAATAATCAGTGTTATTGAATTATTAAGATACTGATTCTATATCAATCTTCTTGTAGATTCTTCCTTTAATATCAAAGCAAGACATATTTGGATCACAAAACATGATACTGAGATCCATGCAATCAAGTACTACCACTCAAAGTTGAATAACCAAAAATAAACTTCAGGAAAATTGTACATTATTTTGCCAAATAATTAGATATCAATTAATTTGAAAAGACTAATTATACGAGGAAAATTGTTTGATTAGGCATTATGATGCAACTATCCATATTTTTTGAGATTATCTTCATAGTGATTCAATATAAAGATGCTTGATAAATTAGATAACTAAGTATTTAGGCAAAAAAAGATTGTAAAATTGAGATTGTATAGAAAGTAAATTTTAAAACTATTTTTTATTATATATTGATAAAAATGGCTTAAAACTCCATTTATAAAATAAATACAAAAGAGAAAAAAAAATAGGAATAACAATATTATTAGTAAGTAATTATTTGCTGATTATATTGTATTATTCAAAGCATTTTTATTAAATATTTAACCTGTAGTGAAAATTAAAATTTTAAATAAAAGAAATTTAATATTATTTATCTCTAAAAGAAATAAAGAACAAATATTTCATCACCGATTTAGATTAGGTAATAATATTAAATCATATCAATAAAGTTGTTCAGAGGATTATTTATATCTTAAATATAAAGAAGTATAATAAACATGAAGATTAAAAAAAAATAAATAACATCCTGAGATCCAAAAGAAAAGAAATAATTACCTTTGCTCCATCATATTCAATTGCAGAAACAAAAAAGAAATGAAACGACTAAATTTTCATACTATCAGATTCTGAACATATCCGAAATAACATTCTATTCTAATTCGAGAGAATTAAAAAATCCAAGAAAATATTTTTTGAAGACCTTTGTAAACCTTTTTCATCAAAATATTTTGATATGTGCATTTAATGAGGGATGATTTTTATTAGGCATGTAAAAAGTTTTTTTAAATTAATACAGATTACACAAAATAAATATTTCCATAAAGTGTTATGGTTCTTCAATTATTGATAAACTCTTCTGAATATTTATCAATTTAAATAAATTACCAATTATCATCAATTCTTGGAGGTAAAATAAATTAAATATCAATTAATTCTCTTCCCAACCAAAAAAAAAGCATGTCTTCTTCATAAACAGTTGATCTAATCATTTAATCTTATTGGTAAATAAATGCTAGTTACTTTGCTTACAAAAAACAAAAGCTTTTTGGAATTATTTAACTATTCATCAGTTTAAAATATATTTTTTTGACCTATCAACCATTTTGTTATTTATTCAAAAGCAAAAGTAACAGAAAGTATACTCATTATAATAAATTTTTTTGTTTTTAATATACTTTAATAAACTCTGTCACTTTAATAATACACACTAATAAATCACTTGAGACATCAAGAACCGCCACCAGTAACAAATATTTGATTTTGATCAATTTTTGTTGCAATTAAAATCTAGAAAACCTTTATATTTTTAAGCCTACAATATGATGTTCTAAAAATATGAAATAGATTCATTTTTATAAACAGTTTTTAAAAAACTTGATCAACTGCTTTAGTATTTTGAGATATTAGAATAGCCAAATGGATGAATGATATTCGCGATAATTTAATGGCATATTAATTATAATGTAATTAAAAAATCAATATTGATCATGTTTTTAAAAGTGCTGATTGATTCTTTACTTGGAAAAGTAATTTAGTTAATTTCTTGATCTGCTCCAAATAAATGAAACTTCATTTGGTAAAATTTATGATGCATTCATTATATTAAGAGAGAGTTTTACGTTTTCATAAATTGAAACTTAAAAAAATAGATTACAGGAGAGTCATTAAAATTGGAGAGTTAAACAAATAGAATGGTGAAAAAGGAATCTAGAATTAAATTATTATATAGAAGATTAAACTAAAATCTAAATAGAGTGCTTATGGAAATTTAATTTGGTATTTATTAATGAATAGATTTAAGTAAGACCATTTATTTGTAGTTTAGTTTTTGCAATCTTAAATTTACTTTGAAAACTATCTTGATGCTTATGAATCAGTCTATTAGTAGATTAGGATATCTTCACTCTTAAGAGGTAAATAAATTAGTCAGATAATCTATCTTTGAATAGACACAGAGAAATTAAGCTGGAGAATTTAATGGGTAGAATTCTACAAAATGAAACCTTATTTATTTTATTGATATCAGTTTTTATGCTTCAATACATGATTCATAACCCATAAGTGGAACTACTCACTTTATACCACTCTGATCTCATTAATGGTATAATTAAAGCATGCAAGTGATTTAGAGTCCTATGGTCATTTGGCACTAGTTAAAGGTTTGCTACCTTGAATGAATATATCAAAATGTGGCGAACTTCAATGCCATTTTAATAAAAATTAGATTTAATTTAGTTTTATTGGGGGCTTACAAAGGCTAAATGATTAGAACTCAATATAATCATAATAATAAATGTAATTGGCAGGATTTTATTAGAANTACACACTAATAAATCACTTGAGACATCAAGAACCGCCACCAGTAACAAATATTTGATTTTGATCAATTTTTGTTGCAATTAAAATCTAGAAAACCTTTATATTTTTAAGCCTACAATATGATGTTCTAAAAATATGAAATAGATTCATTTTTATAAACAGTTTTTAAAAAACTTGATCAACTGCTTTAGTATTTTGAGATATTAGAATAGCCAAATGGATGAATGATATTCGCGATAATTTAATGGCATATTAATTATAATGTAATTAAAAAATCAATATTGATCATGTTTTTAAAAGTGCTGATTGATTCTTTACTTGGAAAAGTAATTTAGTTAATTTCTTGATCTGCTCCAAATAAATGAAACTTCATTTGGTAAAATTTATGATGCATTCATTATATTAAGAGAGAGTTTTACGTTTTCATAAATTGAAACTTAAAAAAATAGATTACAGGAGAGTCATTAAAATTGGAGAGTTAAACAAATAGAATGGTGAAAAAGGAATCTAGAATTAAATTATTATATAGAAGATTAAACTAAAATCTAAATAGAGTGCTTATGGAAATTTAATTTGGTATTTATTAATGAATAGATTTAAGTAAGACCATTTATTTGTAGTTTAGTTTTTGCAATCTTAAATTTACTTTGAAAACTATCTTGATGCTTATGAATCAGTCTATTAGTAGATTAGGATATCTTCACTCTTAAGAGGTAAATAAATTAGTCAGATAATCTATCTTTGAATAGACACAGAGAAATTAAGCTGGAGAATTTAATGGGTAGAATTCTACAAAATGAAACCTTATTTATTTTATTGATATCAGTTTTTATGCTTCAATACATGATTCATAACCCATAAGTGGAACTACTCACTTTATACCACTCTGATCTCATTAATGGTATAATTAAAGCATGCAAGTGATTTAGAGTCCTATGGTCATTTGGCACTAGTTAAAGGTTTGCTACCTTGAATGAATATATCAAAATGTGGCGAACTTCAATGCCATTTTAATAAAAATTAGATTTAATTTAGTTTTATTGGGGGCTTACAAAGGCTAAATGATTAGAACTCAATATAATCATAATAATAAATGTAATTGGCAGGATTTTATTAGAAAGGTAAAAGAAAGTAAGGTAACTATTTGAAAAGTATTTTCCTTCTAAGACCTTATTAATGTCAAAATATTTAAGAAATGGAGTATTATTCTATTGCTTTATGTGTAACTCTTTGCAAAATGAATTAAGGGTGTTGGTGAAGGGATTATAGAAATACTCCTCCGTCATATGATATAAATAAAAATGTGAAAATTTTTTATTAAATTTAGCAATTTATTTTTAAATTTGATATAATTTAAACAATTTGTTTGGATATGAAGATAAAAAGAATATTCTTTAATTTGCTCTTTAGAATTAATGCTATTTTATAAGTTATTGTTTTAATAAATATATCATTATAATAATTTTTAGTTTGTTTAGATTATGCAAAATAGAACCAACAGAAATTGAATGTTAATAATCACCAAATATTTGCATCATTATATTAGGTTAATAATAATTTTAATTAAATCTATTGAATGGAACAAAATTTTATTGGAAATAGAAGCTTTTGTATAAGAATTCAGATTAATAATATATTTGTAAAATAAATGAATGTGCAGATGCTTATAGAATTAATACACCATTAATTTAGAATTCAATGTCTGGTCATATCATTTTATTTTGATTATATTGTTTGAAGAAGCTGTAACTTTTTAAATTAAATACTTTAAATTAAGTATGCTCAAATCAATGTTTATAAAATTAATTTTTAATTAAATAAACTTGGTTAATGAAGATTTCATCATCAATTTTTGATTATTTATTTATTAAATTTATTAATAAAATATTAAAAAATAAATATAAATTTAGCAAATATTCATTTAGAGGGATTCAATTACTTTGTTTCTCATTAAATTAATATCATTAAATGAGAAACTATACGTAAATTTATTGTAATCTCAACTTTAATAGAAATTATTGAATTTTTAAATTAAATAAAATTATGAATTATTTACCATTAATCCTTTAGGTGTGAGAGACAATATTTTATATTTAAAAATAGAAGATTAATTTTTAAATTAGATTATAATAAATATTTCGACTTTACAAATGATTTTTAATTTTGATATTAATTTTTAGGAATGTAATTAGAAGGTAAAATGATCCATATTTTATTAATTATATATTTTACTTTTTGAATAATAATAAAATTATCAATTTTATTAAACTTATCCATATTAATTTTACTTTATTTTATATATAAAGTAACATGAATTACTCTTTTCCCATAAAACCATATATTAAGCATCATTAGTCATAGATCCTTAAATTATATTATGCTAAAATTGTAATTTTGTAGAAATTCTATATGTATTATGAAATTGTTGAGAGAGTATGTATATATTGAATTTATGTCTTAATAATATTATTCTCTTTGTTTAATTGAACATAATTGGGAATAAAGGTTCATTATATTCTTAATTATTGAATATTAATTTAATTTATTAGTTAAATTATTCTTAAAACTACTGATTCTATAATTCAAAAAAACAAATATAATCTTGTCCATCTTAATTTTCACTTACACATATAAATTAATTTTCTTTTATGAAACAAATTTCAGTACCAAATTCCATTATTGATTTTGTAACAATTTATTTAAATTCCCATTTGTTATTTTATGTATTCATCCAAACAATTATTTATTTATCTTTTCCACATGAAACTAAAAATGTCTCAGATTCATTGAATGATAAATTAGTAACATAAGCTGTATTTTTAATTAAAGATTAATATAAATTTAAATGGTTACGTTCAAAATCCACATCCCATACATTAATTAAATGATCTTCACTACCAGATATTAAAACTTTTTCATTTTTTGAAAGTATTAAACAAAATATCCGATTACTATCTTCATTTGTTGATAGACTTTTCCATTCTTACCCTTTGAATTATTTCCAAATTCTAATTGTACTATCATAAGATCCAGAAATAAAATTATCAGATAATTTACTAAATAATAAACAACTAATAGTTGATTTATGAAATGATAATTTTTATATTTCCTTTAATTCTCCATTATTAAAGCTCCATAATTTGATATCTTTTCCACAACCTGAAATCATAATCTACCCAGTTACATTAAATGCTATTGCATAACAATCTTGATTTTATTTAATCCCATTACTCATTAAAGTTAATGAAATATCAGTCTCAGGAATTTTTTTTATTTTCTAAAATGAAATCTTTAATTTGCTAATTAATTCTCTAAACACATCATTTGATTTTTTTATTTTATATAGAATCTTTTTAATAGTATCATTATTTTAATAAATAATTCCATCTATCAAATACATAAATTCTTTATCATGACTATCAGGATTTAATATTTTATCTATTTCGTAGATCAGATTATATTTATTATTGGTTTATTATTCTTTAGTTAAATAATCTATCCAATTTTTTATATCTTCTAAAATCGAATCAAAAGTAGTAATTAACTTTGATTTTAATTAATTAAGACTCTCTCTTAATTACTCTATATCCTATATTTTTTAATCTAAAAATTATATTTTTTATGAATTATTTTCTTAAATTTTCGTTTCTATTTTCTCCTAAATTATGTTTATACCTTTGATTTAAATATTTTCGTCAAAATTCATCATACATTCACAACATAAAAGCCTTTCATCATTCTTCACTTATTTTTCTACAATCACTGAGCAGACAGATCTTTTATGATGAGAACAAACTAATTCACTATTTTGTTACATTTCAATTATATTATTATTACCAAATTTAATATCTTAGTTTATATAAAAAAATACATATAAAATATATAATTCAATTTGTAGAATAAATAATAATTTTAATGATCTCCATATAAAGCTAATTAAAATTAGTATTCTCTTAAAAAAATAAGAATTTTTAATTGTAAAGGCTAACTAAGCTTTTATTTAGTATAAGTACTAAAATATTTAAATAGGGTTATATGATATGATGATTTTTAACTCTATTTAATGAATTTTAACTTATAAGAATAAAATCTTAATAGATTTAATGAATATCTTTAAAAAATATTCATAATTCATTGGGAAGTACTCAAAATTTTAGGGATAGGGATGTAAAATCACAATTTATTATTAAAGGTATTACTTAGTTAAAACTTCTATTTTATTCTATAAATCTTGAATACTTCTTCAACACGTAATTAAAATATAAATTATATTGATGATTATCTCTATTAAATGGCTAAGTATTCTTAAAATTAGAAAAATTATTAATATGCAATTCTCCTTTTTTTTATCGACAATCCTTTTGATTACTTTCTGTAACTATATACTTCTAGTATAAAAATCAAAAGACTTAGATAATTTTGAACACTGTACTTCAAATCATGATTCCCTTCATCTTATCGAATCGTTATGTACATTATCAATTCATAATAAAATTAATAATAAAAACCTTGTGAATTTTCAATTTCTTTGACCTAATCCTTATTTATTGAATTAATTCTCTTAAACTCTAAGAATTAAAAAATCAAAAAATGATAATACAGAAATATAAAATTTAAAGTATTCCAAAATCCGATATAACCCAATTATAAGCCATCATTTAATTATCCAAATTAATTTTAATCTTTCCTTTCATCTATTAAACATGTTGCATGGATAGCTAATTTAATTTTTCAACTTCAATACTATCACAACAATAATATATAAAAATAAATAATTATTAAGTGAAGAAGTGTTCAACTTATTAAAATCTATTTTAAGGGTTGTCTCACATATTTTATATAATTAAAGTGGATCTGATAAATTTTTTTTAATTATAATTGAATTTAAATTTTATTCTCTATTTTGAGCCTGCCAAGAATATAATTTCACATATTGTTTGGAAAAACAAACATGCAAGAAAATTTTTTGCAAAAATTACTTTAAGTTTATATTAAGTAAACAATATTATAAATAAATTTTTTGAAGAATAGACTTGATAAATTTGACCATTAAAACTAAAAGAATAAGTAACTAAAAAGTTACAAGCAAGCATAAAATGATATAAAATAAGAGTCGTTTGGAACTTCTATAGTCAATGCATAAAATTAATTCATTAATAGCTTAATATGCGGAAGTTTATTATGTTTTATTAACTTAATTTATTTGTGAAATAAACATCAAAAAGTACAAAAAAAAATCTCTCATTATATTTGAGTGCTATTTTATAAATATGTATTTAAATATTATAAGTTTTAATTTACATTAAATTTTATTTCATTTATCAAATGATGCTAAATAATTTGATTGAACTTTGCTTTTAAAAATATACGATAGGTGAGTTTAATATTTGAGATGTCCAATAATCTGCATTCGCATTTCCCTTTATTAATCTAATGTATATCACAATTGCAAAAGATAAAATGTTGATTGAAATATTGGAATTCTTTTTAAAAACCCTTATATAATTAAATATTTATTGAATACTTTAAAAGCTATTAAGTTAATAAATTAAACTGTCCACAACTTCTAGATGAAATTTTTTCATATGTTCTTTGGATCTTATAATTTTAATTATTGAGCGATTTAACAAAATTTAAATTTAAATAAAGTATATATTATTATAGGTTGTATTGATTTTATTAAGAATAACTCATTAAGAAAATAAAACCACTATTTTACAAGAAATAGATAAGATTGATTGCGAAAACTTTTTTGGTATCTAAAATTTACTATTGCATAATATAATAAAGTAAAATATTATGGATTTAGTACTTAATGAAAACCTTTATATTATTATAATAAAAGTAAAGTAAACATCAAAGATTTGATTTACTTAGTTAAATTGCAGAAATACTTATTCTCATTACTTTTTCTATTGATTAATCCCTCGTTAAAGGTCCTATAATGTTGCAATACTCTACTTTTACACAAAAGAAATATTAATATTCATCTTCCAAAAGAATCTAAAATCTAATTAATTTCTTTTCATTAGGTTGTACTTGTATCAATTATTTTGATTAATCATTTTATATTAAATTGAAAATTACAAGATGTTTTTTGTGGTTAATTTAGTTTTATTTTGAAAAAGAATGAAGTGCAACACATTATTTCAAAGAAGAAGTCTGCTTCTTCTTTTGAGGTCATGTTACTCAATTATTTAAAATAAACTTGAATATTACGATAAGAGTAAATATTTAATGTATTGTCTATTAACTATTGGCGAAAAACTTCAAAATATATTTAATATGATCTAATATATAATTCAACTTCAATGGTCAAATTTCTAACTTGCTAATACTTAAAATTAATATTTTTAAAGTCTTTTTATTTGTATATCAACTATAATCATGTGAACTTAAGCATAGAAATTTTGATTACCTATCTTTAAATCCTTTTATGACATAGTAATAAAGGTGTGACATAATTGGTATATAATCATTTGCATTAATTACTTAACTATCTGATGTCTTATGGGGATAGATATTCATATAGTAAGATATATTTAAATTAATTAGAATGAAAAATATTTTTATAATTCTTTATTTTATTTTATTTTTTAGATCCTCTTATAAATCTAAAAAATAATTTTGTTGTTCTTCAATTTTCATTAAATTGTTTCTTTATTTAAATTCATCAAATAGAATATATTCTTTAAATCTAAGATTTTAAATCATTTTGGCTTCTTTTTTCATCTGTGAAAATGTCTGCATTATCATTATAACTATGATATCATTTATTTATTGTACTAATCTAAGAAAATTTAATAAAATTTATTTTTATTAACTTGAGTTAACTCATATCATTTAAATGGCTATTTTTCTTAATGCCAAAATTATTTAATATTTCTTTTTTATCTTAAATTTATTAGTTTGATTTTATAGAAGTCAAAAAGTTCAGAATCTCAATTTGATTTGATTAAACATTTAAAAGACTAATTCATTTGTCATAAGATATTCTAGATTATAAATAACAACTAAAATTTATTATAAAAAAACAAAAATACCCAAGAAATAATTATTTATATACAATAATGGATTAATTTTTTTAATTTTAATGAATTAATTACTTTTTGATCTTGAAAATATTATAAATATTTTATATATAAATTATATTTTACCGATGTGATAATTTCTACCGATTAGTAATTAGGTTTCATAATTGTTAATTTAATGAATTTAAACATCATAAATTCATGAAGTAGAGAAAATAAATTAGAACTGCCTATAGAAATATTAAAAGATACTTCTAAAATTGATTTTTTAATGAATAGGAAGAATTTTACTTCAAATTTCAAAATTTTTGTCAAATTTTCAAAATCAACAATAACTGCAACAACAACAATAGGTAAGCATTATATCAAATCTCTAATAAACATGCCTTTTTATAAAGATATATTTGACCTATGCATATTATTGTTTTGATCTATTTTCACCTATACATAAAGCCTTATCAACCTAAGTTACAATCAAGCCATTAAGTTAATAGGAGGAATCGAACCTGATTGGTACAGTTTGGATGTTACCTCACAANTTGTCTATTAACTATTGGCGAAAAACTTCAAAATATATTTAATATGATCTAATATATAATTCAACTTCAATGGTCAAATTTCTAACTTGCTAATACTTAAAATTAATATTTTTAAAGTCTTTTTATTTGTATATCAACTATAATCATGTGAACTTAAGCATAGAAATTTTGATTACCTATCTTTAAATCCTTTTATGACATAGTAATAAAGGTGTGACATAATTGGTATATAATCATTTGCATTAATTACTTAACTATCTGATGTCTTATGGGGATAGATATTCATATAGTAAGATATATTTAAATTAATTAGAATGAAAAATATTTTTATAATTCTTTATTTTATTTTATTTTTTAGATCCTCTTATAAATCTAAAAAATAATTTTGTTGTTCTTCAATTTTCATTAAATTGTTTCTTTATTTAAATTCATCAAATAGAATATATTCTTTAAATCTAAGATTTTAAATCATTTTGGCTTCTTTTTTCATCTGTGAAAATGTCTGCATTATCATTATAACTATGATATCATTTATTTATTGTACTAATCTAAGAAAATTTAATAAAATTTATTTTTATTAACTTGAGTTAACTCATATCATTTAAATGGCTATTTTTCTTAATGCCAAAATTATTTAATATTTCTTTTTTATCTTAAATTTATTAGTTTGATTTTATAGAAGTCAAAAAGTTCAGAATCTCAATTTGATTTGATTAAACATTTAAAAGACTAATTCATTTGTCATAAGATATTCTAGATTATAAATAACAACTAAAATTTATTATAAAAAAACAAAAATACCCAAGAAATAATTATTTATATACAATAATGGATTAATTTTTTTAATTTTAATGAATTAATTACTTTTTGATCTTGAAAATATTATAAATATTTTATATATAAATTATATTTTACCGATGTGATAATTTCTACCGATTAGTAATTAGGTTTCATAATTGTTAATTTAATGAATTTAAACATCATAAATTCATGAAGTAGAGAAAATAAATTAGAACTGCCTATAGAAATATTAAAAGATACTTCTAAAATTGATTTTTTAATGAATAGGAAGAATTTTACTTCAAATTTCAAAATTTTTGTCAAATTTTCAAAATCAACAATAACTGCAACAACAACAATAGGTAAGCATTATATCAAATCTCTAATAAACATGCCTTTTTATAAAGATATATTTGACCTATGCATATTATTGTTTTGATCTATTTTCACCTATACATAAAGCCTTATCAACCTAAGTTACAATCAAGCCATTAAGTTAATAGGAGGAATCGAACCTGATTGGTACAGTTTGGATGTTACCTCACAAATCATAAATTTTTTTATTTGCATAACAATTAAATGTGCGTTCTTAGTGTTTAACCAATTAAATATTGCCCAAAAAAAAACAAGTCCAACACGCTTCTTTCTTACAATCATTTAAAAAAAAAAAAGTTATATGAGTATTTTACGTAAAATTTAGATAACTAGTTTCGAAAGTCTTTGCCTAATAAAGAGTGGCTTATAAATGAAGTTCAAAGTCTTTAAAAAGCCATGCAATTTGAAGGGCTTATTAATTTACCTTAAGAAGAGTTTCAGTTTTTAACCTAATTTTAGGGCTCTTGATACTTCTTTAGATCGACCTAAACTATCAAAGATTTCAAGAGCAAATTGAAGAACTGAAAAAAAGAAGAATGAAAATTATATAATTTAGATTATCCAAATTATATTTACATCAAGAATTTATAATCAAAAAAATTATTATGATTATGATATATGAATTGATCAATTTGTTGGGTGCAAATGCATTTGCATATCAATCTTACAAGGATTATATGTTAAACTGAATTTTAGGTGCACCTATTATATTTATTAGGTGAAGAGACTTAATCAGTTTGTAAGATTTGGTATATCTAAGCCATTTATCATCTTTATTTTAATTGATCTATATTATGAACTATCTCAAGCAATTTTTATGAAGCTTTTGTCTGTAATTTAAAAATTTTTTTCAGATATAAAAAATTTTTTTCTAATCAAGACTATCAATATCATATATTTAAAAGATGGGGCCTTTGATAAAGCAATTTATTACCTTTATCTTCCATCAATATTTATAAAAGAATTAAGTTTCTATTATTCATTATTTAGATATCAATTACTGATCGACTCCAGTAAGATAGATGTACCATAATCGCTCATAGCTTATTTCTAAAAAGTATAACTAATTAATCTATCTATACTGCTAAAAGCATTATTCTTTTTAGAATCTAGTACAATTAACTTATTTATATCATTCACTGCTTCTTAATACCATTTTAATTTAGTAATTAAGTAAGTAATAATATTTATTGCGATAAGAAGGGGCATTGACACATTGAGGATCAATTTAACAGCTTTTAATAATCAAAAAAACGCTTTCTATTAAAAATGTATGCTTCAAACAATTAGATTAAATATCATAAAATAGTAGGTGTCACTATATACTGATCAATGTTAATAACCTGCTTATAGCTTAAAAATGCAATCTCTCCTTGCCCAATTCTTATGGCAAAAATATTTTATAACAATTGTATTTTGAACGAATTATTTCAAGAATGGTTTTTGAAGATCTATACATTTGGTTTTTTTAAATGAATTTTTCTTTTAATTTCAATTAGTCTTAGTTAAAATTGAATAAATCTATAATAATGATAATTGATTAATAAACAATTAATCTGATATTTAATCTTAATATTCTTATGAGCTTTCTAAATAAGTAAATTAAATATAGAATAAAAGAAAGAAGGAACATATATATACAGATATTTAAATTTTATATAAGATTAGAACTCTGATTAATAAAATAAATTTTTGGCCTAGAAAAAAGTAACTATATATACAATATTTTTATTTTGTTTATTATTTTATATATTATTTAAAAAGCACTTTTAGTTGTGTCTTATTTTTGCAAAATTTCTTTTTTTCTTCTTTTTTTCATGAAAGCTGTTTTTATTTATGCTTTGGTACATTAATATATTACTCTAATTCTTTTTGAGTAAAGACTCTCATGNTTTATGAAGCTTTTGTCTGTAATTTAAAAATTTTTTTCAGATATAAAAAATTTTTTTCTAATCAAGACTATCAATATCATATATTTAAAAGATGGGGCCTTTGATAAAGCAATTTATTACCTTTATCTTCCATCAATATTAATAAAAGAATTAAGTTTCTATTATTCATTATTTAGATATCAATTACTGATCGACTCCAGTAAGATAGATGTACCATAATCGCTCATAGCTTATTTCTAAAAAGTATAACTAATTAATCTATCTATACTGCTAAAAGCATTATTCTTTTTAGAATCTAGTACAATTAACTTATTTATATCATTCACTGCTTCTTAATACCATTTTAATTTAGTAATTAAGTAAGTAATAATATTTATTGCGATAAGAAGGGGCATTGACACATTGAGGATCAATTTAACAGCTTTTAATAATCAAAAAAACGCTTTCTATTAAAAATGTATGCTTCAAACAATTAGATTAAATATCATAAAATAGTAGGTGTCACTATATACTGATCAATGTTAATAACCTGCTTATAGCTTAAAAATGCAATCTCTCCTTGCCCAATTCTTATGGCAAAAATATTTTATAACAATTGTATTTTGAACGAATTATTTCAAGAATGGTTTTTGAAGATCTATACATTTGGTTTTTTTAAATGAATTTTTCTTTTAATTTCAATTAGTCTTAGTTAAAATTGAATAAATCTATAATAATGATAATTGATTAATAAACAATTAATCTGATATTTAATCTTAATATTCTTATGAGCTTTCTAAATAAGTAAATTAAATATAGAATAAAAGAAAGAAGGAACATATATATACAGATATTTAAATTTTATATAAGATTAGAACTCTGATTAATAAAATAAATTTTTGGCCTAGAAAAAAGTAACTATATATACAATATTTTTATTTTGTTTATTATTTTATATATTATTTAAAAAGCACTTTTAGTTGTGTCTTATTTTTGCAAAATTTCTTTTTTTCTTCTTTTTTTCATGAAAGCTGTTTTTATTTATGCTTTGGTACATTAATATATTACTCTAATTCTTTTTGAGTAAAGACTCTCATGTGATATTTTCTGGATTTTCAGCCCATTATTTATCTGGTTAATGTTTTCTATCAAAACCCCTTTAGATTTCCTCTTGAGTTTTTAATTGAAGTAAGGCATCTATAATTTCTTCTTTCTTTATCGGCTTTAGCAAGTGAATTGCAGCTATTCTTGGTGCATCTAAGGTATTCAAAAATATATAACAATTTTGAGAATTGAAATTCACAAAATTTTCATAAATACTGTTTTGGAGAAATCCTTTTCATATTTTGGATTTTTATGAGACATCTCTAAATTCAGATAATTTAATTTAATTGAATTTAATAATTTTCATTAGGATGGGATAGAATCATAACAATTTCAGATAATCAAGCTTGGATTAGTATGACTTTATCATAACAAAGAAATAGCAATACTTTACAAAACAGTCGAAGAATGAGATCTAACAAATATCACATCCAATTTTAAATGAAACACTACCTCTACTGTCTTATCATAATTTTTGGAATAATTTTTGTTTTAACTTTGTCAAGAGACTAGTAGAAATAAAAATGATAATTTTGACAAAGCAGACTGTTAATTAATTTTATTTTGTTGAATGCCCAGTTTTGCTACACAGAATGATGAAATTGAGAAAAGAGAATGGAAATAGGATAATGATTCTGAAAAAGTTCATAAGGAAAAAATAAAGGAAATATAATTCACTTAGTCATAACCAAAAAGAAGAAATTTTATACTTATAATATCAGGCTTACAAAATTGTGTGATTATCTTTCTTGTTTAAGTAACTTCTATTTGGGTTAGAATAATTCAAAAATTATATTCTTTAAAACAAATAGAGAGAAGAAATCATTATATCATAGTTTGAAAAAGATTGTTTAAAAGGTTTAGTCAAGAAAGATATAATACTTCATTGTTCAATGCTTCTTCATGTTTATCTTTATTAAATAAAAGTTTCCTAATAAAGATATAAGTGTAGGATAATTCAGATAAATATTATGCCTTCTAGATATAAGGTTTAGTTAGCGAGAAATAAAGCCAACTGAATTTTTACAAAAATTAAAAAAATCTTGAGGTTAAAAAATATATATAATCGGTCTGCATTTATAATAATGGAGGCTTCAAATTAATCTTTATTGGTGAAAGTTCATTTGGAACTTTTCAAAGTAGTTTGTAATATTTTTTGATCTCTCCAATGCGTATATTGGTGTTGATAATAGGAGATAATTTGAATTAATGAGGAACCAGGAAAAATATAAGAAATGCTTCTCGGATTATGTATTGGATCTTTTGTAGTTGGTATATGATTCTCTCTATATCTATGATCCTATAAATAAGAAGAAAATATTTATTTAATTTGTATTTTAGGATATAAAACAAAATTAAATTATTAATTTTTATCAATCATCTTGAATTAATATTAATCCTTCAAAATTAATGTAAAACTCTGCAGATTTTTCTTGATAATCTTTTGAATTAATGTTCAAAAAGGAAATCTAAAGGCTTTCATGTTAAATGTAAGATATTAATTAATTTTATCATAAAGAAATAATTATATTTCAGAAATTAATAAGTTTTTTTTTTATTTTCTATCATCAAAGAGTTTAATAAATTACTAAAATTCATTAAACCTAATACTAATAGAATAACATGAAGAATTTGATATGGCTAAATAAGTTAAAATCAAAGAAAACAAAGCATTCAAATTCGCACATACATTTTACAAAAATTTATAGTAAAATGTATTCTTTTTATTTTAATACGATTATCATCTCAATCACGCTGAACCCATATTTTTAAATACTTTTTTTTATTTATCCTATGCAACTAATTTCTTGAGACTAATTTTACACAACTAGGAATTTCTAGCTTTCTAAATTTAATAGCTAGAATATACAATATTATGCTTTTTAATGAGTGGGATAATATATTTAATTTAGCATTTATTTTCACTCATTTTAAATGATAGAACAATTATAAAATTAGTCGGTCTAAAAACAACAACTTATAATTTTTAATAGCAAAAACCAAAAAGATATTAATGACTTAAATACTGTCAAGATATTATTAAAGAGACAATTATTAAATGGTTATCCCTATATTTTTTATTTTTGAGTATTGTTATAAGAAATTTAATATTATTCATAAATTTTTTAATCAATTTTTACTACTACACAAGTTTATTTAAACAATTACATTAAAATGATAAATGATTTGGAGATGATCAGCCAATTTAATTTAATATCTTATATCAAAATAAAAAAAAATTAATAGAGATATTTATTTTTTTTAGTAGAGAAATTAAAATATTTATAAAACAGATTATAACATCTTTTAATTCATTAAATTGATCTAAATTGAATAGAAAAGATGAAAAATATGTAATGAATGACCATAATTTTTTATGCAAAATCAACAAGGATACAATTCTACTAAACTTTTACTTTTATCTTAAGCAATTCATATTTCGAAATGTTTTCTCAATAGCATATTTTATATCAATTACAATCAATTTAAAATCTATTTTACAAAAATATATAAGATTATTTTATCGTTTTTGCATTATGTAACTAAAAGCTAGAGTAAAAAAAATTCAAAATTAAATATAAAAAAAAAATGTAGGACTTTTATTAAAAATAGGAAGCTCTAGCTGATATCTTTGATTAAGTAAAAGATTTAGATAAACAAACCTTTGGTGTCATATTAGAAGTATTTAGAAAACAGAAAGTTTAAGATTGCATTGGATATCTTTCAGATGATGGAAATAAAAGACATTACAAATAATATATTTTTAAAGATGACAATATAAAACTTTTTGATATGGGGTGGAAATTAGATGTTGTCACAACAAACATGATGAAAATTAAAAATATTCTAAAATAGATAAAAGTTCATGACTTTAACTAGCAAGACTACTCTACCGAAGAAAATAAAGAATCGAAGCTATATTTGATTAAATGCATTAATGAAAATAGATATATCTTAGATTTTTTGTAATTTTTAGTTCACCTTACATCTATAGATAACAATTTAAAATAATGTGGGTCAAATTCATTACATTTATTAGTTTAGATGAAAGCTGATCTTAGAAAAAAAAATTTTGAAAATATTAAGATCTAAAATACTTCTTTAGTAGGAGCTAATTTTTTTAGAAGTAATTTTAGTGGATCCTAATTTTCTAATGTGAATGTAAGTGGAGTAAATTTAAATGGATCATTATTATTAAATTGTAAATGGATAAACTTAAGAATCCATGAATTAAATAAATTAGATGGTCATAATGATAGTGTAAATTCAGTCTGCTTCTCTCCTGACTTAACTACATTAGCATCTGGTAGTGGAAATTATAATTATGGAGGCATTTATAGTATTGATAACTCTATCCGTCTTTGGGATGTTAAAACAGGAAAATAAAAAGCCAAATTGGATGGCCATACTAGCACTGTCTACTCAGTCTGTTTTTCTCCTGATGGAAATACATTAGCATCTGGTAGTAGAGATAAATCTATCTGTCTATGGGATGTTAAAACAAAGAAAAAAATATCCAAATTAGATGTTCATACTAGTAGAGTTGAGTCAGTCTGTTTCTGTCCTGATGGAAATACAATAGCTTCTTGCTGTTATAACTCTATCCGTCTTTGGGATGTTAAAACAGGAAAATAAAAAGCCAAATTGGATGGCCATACTAGCAATGTCTATTCAGTCTGTTTCTGTCCTGATGGATATACATTAGCTTCTTGTAGTTATGATAACTCTATCCGTCTTTGGGATTTCAAAACAGGATAATAAAAAGCCAAATTAGACGGTCATACTTTTTTTGTTATGTCAGTCTGTTTTTCTCCAGATGGAAATACTTTAGCTTCTGGTGGTGGTGATAAGTCGATCCGTCTTTGGGATGTCAAAACAGGATAATAAAAGGCCTAATTAGATGGTCATATGGATATAGTTAGATCACTCTGTTTCTCCCCTGATGGAAATACATTAGCCTCTGGTAGCAGTGATTTGTCTATCCGTCTATGGGATGTTAAAACAAAATATTAAAATGCCAAATTGGATGGCCATACTGATGCAATTATGTCAGTCTGTTTCTCACCTGATGGAAATACATTAGCATCTGGTAGTTATGATAAATCTATCCGTCTATGGGATATGGAGACTAATAAAAAAAGAGCCAAATAAGAAGGTCATACTAGTTATGTCTGGTCAGTCTGTTACTCTCCTGATGGAAATACATTAGCATCTAGTAGTTGGGATAACTCTATCCGTCTATGGGATGTCAAAACAGGATAAGAAATTCAATCCTCCGATAAAAATTACGAAGATGTTTTGATATAATTTAAGATTCCACTCCAATAAAATAGTCCTTTATCGGAAAGTTATATTTATATTATTCATATTTTTAGTCTCAAATTACATTACTAGTCTCATTATATCCCAACAGACAATATTTCAAGCATAAGGAGCGCTTATTCTGAAAGGAGAATTTAGTGATGAATCTGGTATTGATTTAACGGCATTATTGAAGCAAAAAGGAAGTTTCTTTTTAGAGGACTTTAATTAAAAGTGATTTTGATTATTAAATACAATATAATTATAATTATAATCCACTTCATAATTTTTCATTATGCTTTATAATTTCAGTTCTTCATTTTTGATTCAAATGAAGTGTACTTAAATGTTTTTCCAAAGTTTTAAGGCATTTTAGTTAAATTTACACATCTTTTAATTAAATATTATATGGTCAATTTAGTGTAGAGAACAATGAGATTTCATAAAAACTCTTATCAATTAATATTTATAGTAATTTAAATGATACTAAATTAAATGAAAACTCTACAGACAATTTAAAGGATAAAAACTGAGCACATCAAAGAGGCTAAAACAAAGTATGAAATAATTATTTAATTAAAATAAAAAGTAGATTTACAAAAAGTCATTCTGTTTTTCTCATATAGGATATTAAGGTTTACATAATTTATTATTATTTAAAAAAGGGATTAGTTAATAATTGAAATTAATAGTTTTGCAAAAGGAAGTTTTTTAGTTTATAAACAGTCAAAGATATATTTAATAACAAAGATAATATAAAAGATATGTCAAGAATTAAAAAACGTAGTTAATCTTAGAATTAATCTAAACTATAAAATAGTAAAAAATATTAGATTTAATAATACCATTTATTAATTATTAAAAGATATAAAAGTATTTCTGAATAAAAATACTGTTAAGATAAATAGTCAACAATAAGTATAATATCTCCAAAACGATTAAGATTTAAGGATATATTTATATCCACCCTAGATTATAATTATTGACTTAATGCTACATTCAAAAGAAGCTTTCAAAAATACTTTTAAATATCTATAACAAATTAACATTTATAAATTATTGAGGTAAAATACTTAAATGTTGTAATTCTATAAATGAATTAACTCTGTTCAATATTAGAGTTATCGGATAAATATCTATAGAACATACTGAATATAATGAAATTAATGATATCTATTATTATTTATTCGAGTGTTTATAATTAAAAATATAATTCATAAATTATTGAATAATTTTTAATTTTTTTCAACTTTAATGATTAAGTTTAAAATATTTTTCAAAATATGAATTATGAGAAAAACCATTTAAATCATAATTTAGTGTTGCAGTAGCTTCGAACTATTTTTGTGTAATTCAAAAATTTAATATTTATTAATTAAAATTTTATATTCCCGAATAATTTTAATTGAGGATTAATCAATCCTTAATACTTTAATGAATCCTCAATTATCCTTATTTATTACTATTTTAGAACAAATGTCTTAAAATAATCTGCCTGAAAACCAGTCAATGATCGAGGTACCCCTTAAGGTTGTATTTAAAAATCCTCCTTTTTTCTCTACAGCAGAGTAAGGGGAAGCTTTATTAATCATTACTACCAGAGGCTAATAATGTATTCTATCAGGTGAGAAAAAGACTGAGTAAAAATAACTAGTATGGCCATCGAATTTGGCTTATTACTATCCTGTTTTGACATCTCATAGACAGATAGAGTTATCACTACTACCAGAAGCAAATATGTTTCCATCTGGAGAGTACAGACTGAGTTAATATATTATTTATGACCATCCAATTTAGAAAAGATGAAATTACATGTAACTTTTTTATAAAAAGAGTTCAAGAGCTTTAAAAAATCTCTTATATATTTTTTCTTATATCGAGGATATGTATAGCCCTTATAATCCCCTTCTTTAACATTATGAGGCTCTTTTTAATTCTAAATTATTAATATTTTAAGCTCTATCAATTTCCCCCCTATTTTACTACTCTAGGTTTTTTATCTTATTTATGGAGATCAAAGAGCCAGTAAAACTCGATACCCCTCATGTCCATTTATTTTTAATATTTCTGCTCTTAAAATTTCTTTCTGCACATAAAGCTTTTTACTTAAGAGATTTAAAGACTCGCTGTAAAATGGAAATTTGGGATAAATGAATATCATCTTACTCAACCTATATGTATTAGATTAGTGTATTTTTGTTAAGAAAACATTTCAAAATGATTTAAAAGAAATAAGAAATTTTTATCTTATTTTTGAATCATTTTTTGCCCTAATTCTATTTTCTTTTTCTATAAAAGCCGTCAGAATCAGCATTTACGAATAGCTATTATTAGTAACATCATTTGAAGCGTTGGTGCTAAAACAAACAAGTAAACTTTTGAACTTTTCAATTTCTCATTCTAAGCTGATGAAATTATTATCAAAAATGTAACTTATAATTATGTTTAGAATCAAAATGTAGAACAAATTATTTAAGCAACTCTTACTTGTTTTTAAAAAAATATTTATTCACCAATATTATGAATACCTAATACAATTCACTAAAGCTTACTATATTTACCTTTATATCATTTATAATACTAAAAGATTTACTGTATGATAAGATAAATTCTATGAAAAGAGAAATTAAATCTCAAATTAATTAATTCAATATTTAAAATTGCGTCTACTAATTAGAGAAAATATGAATTTATTTTAAGTAAGTTCATTCCAGCTGATCATATTTGTTATTCATTCCACTTATTCCAATAAACTCTTTATTTTATTTACAATTTAAAAACCAACTTATTGAATATTTAATATATTTTAATTGATATTTTTTTAATATTATAGCTTCTTGATTTCTAAAATAGTATTTTACGAAGATTGCTGTTGAAAAATGAATTATGAAATTTTTAGTGAATCATTTCATATACAGAAATGTGCTCTATTTCAAATTGCTAACGGTAAAAAGTAAGCCTTCTAGCTCAACTATTTGATTCATATGAAAATCTTCAAATAATTGGGTTTATTTGATTGAAGATATGTTAACAATTGCATTTTGTGCCCAATTTTTTTGGATCTTAAATCGCTCTCCTTAGTAGAGACATACTTTGCTGCTTCTTAATTGAGATTTTCGACAAAATGAACTTCTTAAATATATTCTAATTTACTATTTTCAAACCAAACTATTATCTAATGCTATTATGTTAAGTTTATTAGAATATATTTCTAAAAAAGAATAAAATGCTTAAATTGGGCATTACAAGAATAAAATTCTCAACTAATATCCTTTAGTTTTTGTAATATGTACTTTAATTGTAACATAAAGATTTAATCTTTCAAATTTTGAAATCGCAATTATGCATTAATAATAATAATAATAATAATAATAATTCTAAAATGAAATAATTGGATAAATCTAAGAATATTGCAATCTTTCTTTTTTTAGATCCTTTTACTTAAATTTAAGCTCTTGTAGACAGAACCAAGATTTTAAGCACATCCTAAATGGACAATAAGCCTATCTGAAAATTGTTATATTTGCTTAAAGTTTTTAAATCTTGCTAAATAAACAGTCATTTCATTTTAATGGAATGAAACATGTTTGGACTAAAATTACTCTTTATTGGAATCTGTAAGTATCGACCTCATATTGAACATCAATTCTAGTTTAGCCAACTCTTCAAAAATGATTACCGCAATGTTATTTAAAGAATTCCCCTAATTTGGAGGAATTTTTTATTAATATTAATATTAATCATCTACAATTTCAGTCACTCCTAATTATTGAATCGACTTTAATTTTTAGTTAAACAGTTTTTAAACAAAGTACATTAAAGATCTTTAAAATTAAAATTATATTCTGCCATATTGTTCTATTATCTTATGTGTTATTCTTACCACAAAAATTATTTCATAACCCCAAATCCTTTTGAATAATTGTGACTTTACATCCTGATTAATTGAGAAAAATTATTCACATCATTATATTTTTAAAAGGTAGAGAAGATAAAAAATTCGTCAGTTTTTCACTATGTGCAAATATTAATTATATTCAATTGCTAATCGGAAAAACTATAGAAAATTTAAAATTTGTTATTATTATCCTTTTAAGGATGTCTATGTTTTGAAAGTAAATAAAACATAAAATTGAAAGTATTATACTTCAATTAAAATAGTAAATGCTGATACAAGGATAAAATATTTTCCACATAAGATTATTAAAATACTTATTTGATGGTTGCTATTAAAAATATCTCATTCATCACAATATTTGAAATTTTAAGGTAAAAAGTATTTTATAAAATACTCAAAGTAAAACAAAAAATAAAATATCAAATTATGCATCATATTTTTAATTATTTATTTGAATACCTGTTTGTCATTAAAGAAATCTAGATTTCCAAAAAATTATACAAAATTTAATTCATCAGCATTAACCCGCACCTATAATAAAAAAATTAATTTTACAGTTAATATTTAAATCAGAGATGAGAAATAAGAGGCTAATTTTCATACCGCCCTTGTTTCATAACATTATGAGATATACAGTGAGAGCCTGCTTGTTAATTTTTCCACCTTCAACTTCTTCCTTCACTTACTCTTGTTCTGTATGGTTATAGCTCAGTGCTTAACCATAATTTAACTTATTTCCTTCGACTACTTTCAAGAATCCTCTGCAATTCTTATCCCAATAACGCTACCATTTTCTTTATCTTAATCAATACTCTAGACCAAATATAAGGCTCCTCTCATAGTGCTCTAGATGATTTCCGTATCGCATTGGATCCTCCTACCACTGAAAATATCATATAATTTAAAGCAATTTTATAAATTTAAATTATCATAATTAATCTATAGGAATTGTGGTGAATATTATTTTTGTTATTTTCATCCCAACCTTCACTTATCACAGAGAATCACAAAATTTAAGAAGAATATATAACAATGCCTATTATTATTAAATGAAAAATATTAATGTAGAATAAAAATAACATGATTGAAAGAAAATGATGGAATTTTTAGGTATTTATTATAAATAGTGCAAGTTGAAAAAATCTCATTTTGTAAATTACAAGAACTAATGGAAAAATCAACTTTGGAAAATTAATTTTGTCAAAATATTCTACTCCTCTATTAAATTTAAGGTATCATTCCTATAAAGTTTATTAGATTAAACTGAAGGAATAGGAAACAAATATTTGATTTCAAGTAGAATAAATATATAGATATGAATTTCTGAAAAAGCAAATGAA